TTATCGATTGATGTAAAAATATCTACTACATCTAAACTGGCTAGTGTTATTGTTTTACTCACTGTGATCTTATCTAAACTATTGACAAAACCTTGTGTGTTTTTCGTCTAACTCGCTTTTTTACTTATCTTCTTTAAACTGTGAGCAGTGAACATAGCCTTTACGAATATGTAAGGAAGCAAGTACATAACTCGTGAACAATGCGATTAGAAATAACTATGTGAAATTGTCGCACATTCAATTTGAATTAGATAACAATAACAACAAAATGGAAGTCAGAATAATAATGAACAATCATTGCTACCAATATGATGTTACAAAATCCGAAATAATATCCCAGATTTTCCTTATAAACTCAGAAAGATTCATCTAAATATGTCGCACATGTAGTTTCCGATGTTGAATCTTCGCTGTAAAAAACAAACATCGTACAAAACGAAAAGATTTTGACGCAGGTTAGAAACAATATTGATCAAAATTTTCAAAACCTGTGAAGCAAAATACTGTTAACAATCTGAACGTAGGACAGTTTAGAACGCTGAAAGAGTTGAAAGAAGACAACGAAGCCATAGTTGTAGCAGCACGTAAGAGTAGAAAAGGAGTTGTGTTAAATGTTCAAGTGTATCAGAAAAAGGTCAAGTTAAATACAAATACATCAGTTTAAATAACAAGTTTTAAGAAAAAATCCAAACACATTTAAGTAATTATAAAGAATTAAGTAAGTTAGTCAAAAACCTAAAACAAAAGTCATTAAATTTAAAACCTCAAGCGAAAAACTTTCTGAAGCAAAACCGGTTACTGATTGCCAGAGCACAAGTCAAAGTTCACAATACAGGTAACCCTGTACGATTAATCGTAGGAAGGAGAGAAACGATAGGATCAGAATTAGCTAGGTTTGCTACCCACAGATTGAAGGAGATAAGTGAAAAAGCGAGTTAGACGAAAAACACACAAGGTTTTGTCAATAGTTTAGATAAGATCACAGTGAGTAAAACAATAACACTAGCCAGTTTAGATGTAGTAGATATTTTTACATCAATCGATAAGGATAAGGCATTAGAAATATTAAAACAAGTTAGAAAAAGATGATAACTGGAAAGCTGCTATTAGTTTGAGAAAGGAAAGTATAGTTAAATTGTCAGTATGTGCATTAATAATGTTTTTCGATTTGATGACAAAATTTACAAGCTAAATTTGGAATCGACAATGGGTAGTTCACTGTCTCTTTCCAGACAAATCTCGTTATGAATGGTTTTATTATTAAAAAGTGGAACGAAAAGAAGTTCCCGTAGAAAATGTCGAAGCATCATGTAGGCGACATAATTTTAGTTTCGGAATTAGATAAGAATCAAAGATGAGTTAACATTATACTGGAATAAAATAGATAAGAGTATTCAGTTTACGTCAGAATTTGAAGTCAAAGTTTGCGAAAAAAGCTTGAGAAAGAATCAAAGTTACCGTTTTTAGATGAACTGGTTGAAGTAGACAGGAAAAATCAGAAATGTAGGACAACGAGGTGCGAAAAACCAACAGCAGTAAAAGCATTACTAGATTTTAGGTCGAATCATAACGAAGGAATTATACCTACATGGGAAACTTGCTACAGTCGTTAAAAGAATACGTCTACAATCGGCGAGAGCAATCGGGGCGTGTACCAGTTCATTTAAATAGGTTCGATCCGCGGAAAGAAAGAACTCGTAATACCTCACCACCAACAACTAGTCGATCAGCTGAACGTTTTATTCAATCGAAGGAGAGGGATAATCAATCATGTTTTGGAGAAACTGTTCATCCGTCATTAGAAACAAGACCAATTTGTATACCTTGTGCGGAAGCGGCGATAACGAATGATAAATCACTTTCTGCAAGATATCTTTATCCAGATCCACATGCATTTAAGCACCATTCTGCATCTGGTGGAAGTGGAGTGAGAGAAGAGCCAGAAAATACGAATTTTTGTTCATGGGAAGAATGCAGTCCATTCTACCGAGCATGTCGGGAAAATAAAATTGATGATGTTAAAGAATTTCTTAGAACAATGACACCAGAGGAAATTGATAAAATGGAACCAAATGGTAGTACAGCGTTACATGTGGCATGCTATTATGGAAATATAGAAATTGTTAGATTACTATTAGATGCTGATGCCGATAGAGGCATAACAAATAAATTTAAATGTTTACCGTATGATGAAGCAGCCACTGACGAAATTAAAGCTCTGTTTATCCGTGTACCAACGAGTAATCGTTTGGTATCGAACACAGGTGCTGTAGAATGGGTATTAATTGATGATGATGTTTTGGAAAAAGCAGCTGAAGATCGTGGATTGATAAAATATGCATATGATACAAATATATCAAATATTGATAAAATGTTTGATAGAATACAAAAAAATTATGTTGATAAAGTCTTACGTAATAGTCGTGGTATTGATGGTATTAAACGGTATTTTGAAGTGGCGAAACGTGAGAAAAATCCAATACATATTGTTAAAGCATATACAGCTGAAACAGATTTTTATTCATTATTAAATATTGAATTAGCTGGTGGTTCAAGTATTGGTCAATATGAACGACGTTATATTCTTGCTTTATTAATGTATCATCCAGTGTTTGAAAAATTTTCATATGCCGGTTTGGCTTATAGAGGTATGATGTTAACGGAAACAGATGTTGAACAATATTTAGTTGGGTGTAGTTTAATGATGAAATCATTTTTATCATCATCAATTGATCGTAAAATAGCTGAAGCATTTCTATTACAATATGAAAACATGCAATCATCTATTGGTTTAACACCGCGATTAAGAGCAAGTGGAAAATTAGTGAAATTTTCGGCCATCTGTACCTATCTTATACGACATAGACGTACAGGACTTTATATTGAAGAATTATCACAATATGCAAATGAAGGTGAAGTATTAATTATGCCTCATACAGTTTTTAAAGTTAAAAAGGTTGATTGGAAAGAAAATTTGATTAATATTTTATTAGAAGAATGTGATCCTTATCAGTCAAAACAGTAACAGTTTTAAGCACTCGGCCATTCTATACCGAGAGATTCTTTTTATTGACTGAAGCTTGAATTATCATAAACTTGAAGTTTTGCCTGGAATAACTAATAATGTTTTCTTGTGTAGTATTACAAATAAAAAAATTTTGAATCTTGGCAAAGAACAAATGAACAAACAGGTGAAATACAAAAGCTGCTATCTTTTAAGAAAATGAGATTGAACTACCTCTTGTAGAGATCCCCGATCGATCCAAAGGATATCAGCAATGAAAGCTTCTAAGATAGAAACACAGCAAACGTTCGATTCCTTTTACTTCCGTGCCAGTCTCCATTCTGGGCAGTTTTGGCAAGTCTTGCAGACATTTGATTTATTCTTGTCAAAAACAATTTTTAGTTTGGTTTGACTTTTCATACCTCAAAATGTCTAGACGAAAATGTTATTTGTCAAAATAGATTTTCTCCCATGGCATAAGACGAAGGGTGGAAATATTGAGAAACGGACTGTTGCTCGCGGACAGATGCGCGCGGACAGTTGCTGGTATGACAAGTTGCTCGCATAGGCTGATGCTCGCCTGGACAGATCCTCATCGGACATTTGTTCACCGAATACTTTAAATAGGAAGAATAACGTGCTTTATGAAATGTATTCAAACTAATTAAAGTGTTGAATGGGAACCTTGAAAAGTGTTTATAAAACAGGTTCAAACTAATTATTATTTCTTATATTGAATAATTTTTGTACACTTGATGACTTTTCATCAACAGTATAATATCTGCAGAAAGAAGAGTATAAATTACAAAGAATTTTTAGGTAAGGTATCATAATCTTACATTCACCGTTCAAAATGTCTACCACTGTTTCT